CACAGATCTTAAAAAATGTAAATAGCATTATATATCTCATTCTACATATGATCTGCCTATTATTTTGTTATTATGGATTCAAATAGTTTCATGGATGGATTCAAATTACTGTCTACGAAAATGTTATATTTATATTAACTATAAAAAACTTGGTCATAGAATAACATTCAAACAAAATGGTTCATCATTTTACTTTCCTGTAAAGAATTAATTAAATATATTGTAGGTTTCCCTGTTCAAAGTTCTCTAGCTAATTTAACAATGGTTTAATTACACAAACGAATTATATAAACAATAATTTTGATTGCTAAACACAATGGCGTGACTAATCAATATGTACATTTCATTGTGTTTCAGCGATATATTTATACATATTTTTTCTTTTTTTACTATGAAAATTAATTAACAAGCGTGTACTTTCGTTGCGATAATACTAGATTCTAGACGCGGCAGTTATTCTATACTAGCTGTGCCCCGCGGTGTTACCCGTGGTTTATTTGGGATATTTTCCCGCAGTAAAACGTAGCCTATATGTTAAATCAGGGTGTCAGCTAACTCTATACCAAATTTTATTAAAATCGCTCCAGTCGTTTAGACGTGAAGAAGTAACAAAAACATACACTCACACTCGCAAAATTTCGCCTTTAAAATATTAGTGTAATTTTCTTTATTAATTTTCCTATAAACGTCAATGGGCAGTTGAGTACCTACTGCCCAAAAAAGAAGTGTTTTGTTTTCAGGATTCATGTATGATTATCTGTTTTTTCTTTCTTCTGCAAAAACTTTTACACGTCTTATAACAAATTTGGATTAAAGTATAGGGATTCGTTCGATACTGGCAATATTATTTATGTACTCGATTTTATCAGATTGATATTATGATTTAAAACATCCCAAAGGAACTTAAGTGTTAATGAAAATTCCAGAAAAACTGCTCGTCTACGTACTTGTTTTTGAAGTTCGTTGTTTGAAGTAACTGGATAATTTTATATTAAATATTAAAAATATTTGTATGGTTGGTAAGATTACTTAGTTCACTCTGACAATGTTAGTCGAGGTATGACAAACTATCATACTTTCTTCTATCTGTCCTTTGCGTATGTTTTTCTGCTACATCAGTCAACTATCCTTTTTTTTATATACGAGGCCTAACAAATTGCGCCGCTCTTCCTGATGTAAAGTGCAAGTGAAGTCCAGTCGCGATGATTAGTTGATGCGGCAGAAGGTGTGCCGCTCCAGCAAGCCTCCCCTCGCCGGCATAAACCCAATTCTCTACCCGCGGAGCGCTGGAACCCTGTAGGAACCAGGAACACCCAACCTGGAACCAGTAGAAACACAACATATTGTAGAGATTTCTGTCCCAGACGGGCGTTCCAATTCAAGCGTGAAATCCGCTGTGCCCTAACTCTCAAATTTGTTGCGCCTTTTAAAAAAAACAATATCGTTTATGCGGTCTAGGCTGTTACAAGCACTTGTGAATGTCGAAAAGCTACGCCATCGGTTCGCAAATCTACGGCGGGAGACCTTGTGCTGAGAACAACTGGCAAGAAACTTTGATATGAAGACAGCTGTAGCTATTAATATTTCATATGTGGTTAATTTTCAAAATAATTGTTTATCTGCTGTTAACAAACAAAGATATATTTTTATAAATGTTTGCGAATAATAACTCATTACTTCTGCGTCTAGATAAATATTAGACAACAATATCGTATGCATACATTTGGCTAACTAGTGAAATAAGATTTAATTAATAAAAGACTGCAAATATCCAACTTGCCAATGGATTATTACGCATACCATATTTATATACTAAAATCCAATAATTTAGGTCTGAGCAATGTTTATTATATTAGTCCTGATGAAATTATACAATACTAACGGCCGCCCGCGACTTCGTCCGCGTGAACTTGAGTTTTTTGATTTTTTTTTGAGATCTAAAAGCAGTTATCCTTTTTCTCAATCCAGGTCATAACATGGATACCCAATTTCATTCCAATCCGTTCCGTAGTTTTTGCGTGATTAAGTAAGAAATATACAAACACATATTAGAACGATTACAGATAGTCAAAATAGTTGAATGGTTGATGATAGAATAGTGATCAACCTTACTATTTGAACCTTTTTTTTTGTCTAGGAAATGCTTTACGCGTTCTTCAATCACCGGGGGAGCGAGAGGAAGGTATATGGGACTCCTCGCAGTCTATACTAATCCTACTAATATTATAAATGCAAAAGTGTGTATGTCTGTCTGTTACCTCTTCACACTTAAACTACAGAACCAATTTGCTAAAGAGATATGTTAGGTCCCGGAAAAGGACATATATGATAGTTTTTACACAGATATCGTCCTTTTAGGGGGCAGAAAGTTGGTGGAAGTTTATGAGAAACCAATTTTTCACGCCGACGAAGTCGGCACTTGTTTGTTTACTATATACCTATATATGAGTGCTAAAATGTCTTGCTCATAATGTACTTAAACGTACGCTACGCACACACGCCTCTCAAGCTGTTATCACTTGTCACATCGCAATATGAATTTAACTGAAGTAGAAATACTTTGAACTTGACTTTCCGTGTAGCATGATTTGGCAATTCATGTACTTTTGTTGCTGCTGTTCGTAGCCTTTAAAGGTCGCCTATTATTTTCCAAAGTGTTTAAATATTGTGTGTTTTCCCCCATTTAAAATCTAATTTTCTGGAAAGTATCCACTTCTAAAATCTCATATTTTTAATTTTAAATCTGATATATTTGCATTAAGATTTCTTACAAATTATATTTTGTGCTCATAGCTAGTTCAACAAAAGAAGGTGACAAAGTGTACATATCGAATTCGTATAATTTTAATTCCGATAATTTAAGGGGTTAAGGGGCAGGTTCATCGAACAAGGTTGTCTACGTAACAAATGGATCCGGAGCTTAAGTGGCGATAAATATCAATTATTTCTGCATTATATGTTTTATCACATGCTAATAGCAAAATTACGTAATTCATAATTTTGACATATCAACTTAATAAATTATATTTTTTCCAATAATAGGATGTAGTTTACATAAAAAAGCCATAGAACTTCGGGTGATGATGAAGTAAATCCGAATTGATGTCTTTATCTTTGGGCTTACTTTAATTATAGCCTTAGTCATAGTTGTCAAAATTAAATAATCGCATTATCTTTAATTTAATTCTTTTTCGAGGTGCTCAATGGCGCAAGTGGTTTAGTGCGTTCGGCTGCCATCATTGAAGTTAAGCAACTTTCGCAGTGGTCGGTTATCGGATAAGTGACCAAAAATTTACTATCTCAAGCTCCTCCGTACTTAGGAAGGCAGTTAAGCCATTGGTCCTGACTGCATCTCGATCACTCACAAATCCACAGTAGGCTCGCGTGTGTCATGACGCATTCTCCCTATTCCATCCATAGTGCAGGCCTGTGCACCTACAGTGGGACATTAATAAGGTGATGATGTTTATCTTTATAGTATGCTTCTCAATTTTGGCAAAAAAGTCAGTCATTTTTGTAGTTATATCAATGAAAGATAATAATTTCACCATTGTTATTAATAAGAACTAACTGCAATGCCCGAAATCTTTTAAAACAAGAATTAAAAAGGCAGTAGAAAGTTTAAAAATTAAACAAACGAAAAATCTAAATCTCTGAAACTGAATAAGTTTTATCATAGTTTACACAATTTTTAAGATATTTTGTTCTTTAGGGAAATGTTCTCACGCGATCCAAAATCTACGCATTCTGCAGTGTTATTCTGATAGTACAAACTCACCTTTCACCGCTAAATCCGCGGTGGTTTTTAAAATTTTTATCAAATTTGTATTTCTAATCTAAAATTACCGGCGGATTCCGAGTGAAGTTATTATGCTCTTATAGAATAGCACGGCTGATCTTAACCAAAACACGGCAGTATGCATGTTCATAGAACTTGAACATTTTAGCGAAATTTAGGAGTTGGATACGCTCATCATCTCAGCAACTTACTTTAAGACAGCCAGGCAAAGACATGGTCAAACTCTAGCGCAAATAATCTTCATAATGCGTTATTATATTATAACTCGTCAGTGCAGTGGTTAGATGGTCTATCAACTTAATTAGGTAATAGATGTTATGTATTACTTGCTTTTTATGGTTAATAATTTATATGTAACTAGCTGAACCGCCGAACTCCGTACGTACCCCTTACAATAATTTGGAGGAAATAAAAGCTATATCCGTTTGACAGGAACACAGCTTTTTCCACAGTTATCAAATGTTTGGAGAAATCTGCTGTAGATTGATTGTTCAGCTATGTAACTCTCATATTTACTATCATCTGAAAATTCATTACATGGCGCTCAAACTAAGATAATAGAAGCCTTAAAAACCACCTGAGTCGGCCCTCAACATTCACACGCGTATTCATACTCACCTAAATTTTTTCAAGTCTCAACCAGTGTTTTAGTACAACTCAAACATACTTAGTCGTGTTTACGCTTTCCATTTTCAAGTAGTTTCCACAACTACACATTTGATTGCAATCAATAAATGCAAGCAACAATATTATGTGCTTAAAGGTGTTTTCGTATGTTTGAACATCTTAAATGCGTATCTGTGGAAGTGGTACAATGGCCAACACGTCAAATATGACAGTTAATTTACATTAGTTCCACTATGGTCATCTGTAAGGTGGAAGTTATTTCCAATTTGAGTTAGTCTTAATGTTCATAATTATAACAAAATCACAAATATTTCCAACACACACCATTTATTTACCTAGCATCTAAGTAGCGGATGGAATACACATATTTATCTAGGTAATATATATAAACAACCACAACTTAGGTACAAATGCTCGTATTCACCATACTAACATTTGGCCCACCGGGATTCGAACCCGAGACGTCTGAGTAAGCGACACCTTGAAACCTCTGTACATACTACTCCCGCCACGGAGATCGTCAAATGATTTTAATTTGTCGGAATAAAATTAATTCCTTTTTTTTCTATTACAGGTTACCACAGCTTGCCGTCTCTGCGAAGATATTGTGCCTCCTGATGGTAAGTGTTAAAATAAGAACATTATACTTTAACGGTTACACAAAAAGCAAATTAAAAAAAAATTGTGCGACATCGTATTGTGATAGTGATATATATATTAATTCTTGTTTGCGCATATCTTCGAAATGCGTGGACCGTATTTGATATTTTTTTTTTGTAATGTAATATAGTTCCATTTGGTTAATTTCGTGAAGATCTAATGAGTATTTTTTGATAGTACAATGGAACTCCTCAATTACAAACAGCATTTAATTCGTATTATGAAATGATATAGGTAATTCTGGCTTATAAAAATTGGAAAATACAAACTTTTCATCAAAAAGAAAAAAAAATTAGAAATAACACATTTTAGTACTTATATCTAAAGTACATTTAAAGTCAAATTATCATTTGGAGTCGGTGCCATCCATGTTGGTAGATCAGAGTTACAATTTTAGGTTGACATGCTCAGAAAAAAACGCATAGCCTCTGTCATGCACCACATATTGTCATTGCTTTTACATGTATCCTCACGCAGTTACGAGCAAAATTATTTCGCAACTAGCAATAGTATCGCTAGTTCCGAAACAATTCTGCTAGTCGCTGCGATACATGTTGCCAAAGTCAGAAGCCGTCCCTCTGACTAACTCTATTTTGTTATAAAGGCTCATAAGATAAAGCACATGAAAGAGGAAACTTAGTGATATAGTTCCGCTTTATCGAAACCAGTAACGTAACTTCGGTATCTCGTAGAAGGCCGAAGGGGTTCTGTTATCACTGCTTAAGTACGGAACCCTAGAATGGGAAAATGGTAAATTTATATAAATGAATAGCTTCCAGTTGATGTTTTATCAAAGGAAAACATGAGTTTCTTTAATGGAAGCACTAAGAAGTTTTAAGTGTTGTACGAGTGGATGTCCATAGGCCACGCTGACAACTTACATACGAGTATGAGGAGCTGGGGAACAAAACGGTAGAATTACTTAAAATTTAATTCAACAGGAGCTGTATAAACTGAATGACATACCTACAGTGAGCTTTTGGCATGGTTTGTAAATTATAAATTTAGTAATTTTAACACTGTTTAAGGCTTGTTTTGATTGAAAATTATTTGAGATTCAAATTTAACGGGCTTGGAACCTCCGGACTGTAAAAAAACTAGTTTGACCATATGTGTAATTATACCGTTTTGTTCGCCAGCTCCTCATATATAATTCACCAGGCGGAGCGTTTGCATGATTGCCTTCTAAAACTAATAAAATATAAATGAACGTGGAAGTACCTATTCGAGACAATAAAATATTATGTAAATCAAATACTAATTATGAATGATCAAGTCAATAATAATATCACCCATAAAATATTAAAAGTCTGGCCGAAATGCCATTAAAATTATAATACCATTAATATGATATTTGATTTACGATCACTCAATATTGATGTGCCTTAATTGGGATATAATACGTGTTTAATTAATGATATGTAACCTTCACATTGGAAGACGTAAACTTATAGTGATATATAATGTTTCAGAAATTTTATTTGCCACAGTCGGAGAACTTTGAAATGTATCTTATATAAAAAGAAAAACTAAGTAAAATATAGTATCTCTATTTCTTTATATTGTATCATCATCATCATCATCAACAGCCTATCTTAGTCCACTGCTGGACATAGGCCTCTCCAAATGCACGCCACTCAGATCGAGCTTGGGTTACTCAGGCACGATGGAGTGACGATTTGCGCAAGGTGGCTGGCAGGAGCTGGATGCGAGTAGCCCAAGATCGATCTGAGTTATATAGTATGCTCAAGTTTAATTATTTATATGGATTCTTTAGGTTCTTTTATTTACAAATATTAAGAAAGTACCAAAATTCGTTATTGGAAAATGTAAAGATATAGCTCTGCAGTAATAATTGATTCAACATTGCAGGCAAAATATTAACAAAATGGCAATTTAATTGAATTTTTCTGGTTCTTTGAGTAAGAATCATTAATATAAAACATTTTTTTAAGTATTTAAAAGTTCACAACCTTCATAATTTATCGCGTTCGTAAGATTCTGACCAGTTTTCTATATTTTATAAATAGATGTGAAAAAAACTATACAGGTCTAACACAAGTGATAATGGCAGGTTTCCATTTATCGTTTCTTTTTGTGATCTAAAATAACTCACGTCATCACGTCGTCGCATCGTTCTTAATACTAGAAACTTTTCAAATTTAGAACCTCTGAAAACACTCCATGGGCATTTTTTTCATTCGTGATCTTCGATAGTTACCTGTTTAAAGTTAAAATGTCGTTTTTTTTTTGTTAAATTCTACAGCTTTGCTTAAACGCGTAAACAAATGCGTCGTCAGAAAAGCGATGTCCATTTGCACCAGGGTTCCCAACTTAGGGGTTTTGCCCCCAGATTTAGGGGCTAGAAGGGTTAAAACGGACTTTTTTAGGGGCTGGAATTTTTTGGGGGTTCTTTTAAGCGATTTTAACAAAATTTTCAATCAAATCGAAAAACAAAGCGTGTGTTTTCTTTCAGTTTTGTGCGTAGAATGGAACGCACCACGATATGAAATGACTGAACTCACTGTGTGGCAGGTTGTTTCCTAAGGCTATATGGACTAAAGTTCTTTGCCTTCCACCAATCAAAACAGCTAAATAAGATTTAACAGCCTGCCAGCTCATTTTCGTTTGATTTTCCATCCGGAAAATGTATTTATTCAATAAAATAATTTACTGTAACTAAATATGTAATGTTTTAATTTATGAGCAACGAAACAATTTAGGTAATAAGATAAGTAGGTACATATAAATTTCTATATTTAGGGTATTTTAGGGGAATTTAAAAAATACTTAGGGTAAAATTTTGGTAAGGGTTGGTAACACTGATTTGCACACACACCGAGCCAACTAAAATGATTTACGTAATGTATAAAAAAGGTCACTTAACCAAGTATATAAGCTTATAGTATTTTCAATTGAATCTAGCATCATTTTATTCACATTAGCCGGCTCGATCGTCTGCTCAGTTTTGTAACTCTGACGACTACTTAAGATGAGGTGTAATCGGGCAGTGTTCTTTCTAAATTAAACATAACTGTACAAACGCGCAAGTTTATAACAATTTAAAAGAATATTGTATAAAAAACAATTCTTGATTTATGCTTTCATTTTAAAGTTTTACGCTTAAATTTATATAATTTACTTTTCTACCATAATTTCTATAACTATTAAGCAGTAAAATTTCTGGAGTTTTTATCACGAGATGAGCGTTAAGGTCGTATCAAACGAAATACTTTTACAAGTATTAAACACTTGAAAATAGATATAGCAATTGTATTTCAAGCATTAAACTGCTACATTTATAATCTAAATAAAAGTATTAGAAAATATTACAGTCGGACTTCCTCGTATCAGATAGGATTCGAATCCGCGTCTTCCGCTTTTCGGATGTAAAGAATCAGTCAATAATGAGAAATAAAACGCAAACGCTACTTTTACATGAAATAAAAGTGGGTGACTTAACGAAAAACTTTATTTAAATCTAAAGAAAATATAACTAGAAAAAATTCCACGCGGACCAGGCAGCAGACGGGACTCGAACCCGCACCCTTCGCAATCCGGGCGAATGCACTGACCAATTATGCTACCGAGGCCCTCACGGACCGCGTCGAAATTCTTCAAGCTATTCTTAAGCTGCAAGGCAGCGTCATCTCCTCGCATTATAGTATAGGTAACCCACAATGTCAAATGAATACTTTTACAAGTATTAAACATTTGAAAGAAGAAATAGCAATTACAGTTATAATTTTTATTATTTTTAAAGCATGTAACTGCCTGATGTTTAAATCTAAAGAAAATATAACTAGAAAAAATTCTGAATCCAGTCATACCTACAACTTTATTTTTGAGGCAAATTCTTATTTTCCTGTTGCATACTTTTGTCACACCTTCGCAATCTTACACTCTTTTTTTTGTAAGTAAATAAAAGTTTTATTGATTTCGGCTTAAAAACTTTTCTGATAGGTATATAATGTTATGAAGGTTACCGTTTGACCGTGTTTAACTTGAAATGTCAAAGCGAAAAGTAACGTTTTTGGGTGTTGTTAATATTACTTATCAAGCCTTACTAGTAAAGTCATCAGCATCATCAGCCTATTAATGTTCCCACTGAAGGGGCACAGGCCTTCCCTATGAATGGTAAGGAAATACTGGGCCGTAATCACCACCCGGACCTAGTGCGGATTGCTGGGTGCTCACGCCTGCAGATGCAGCCGGGACCAATGGCTTAACGTGCCTTCCGAAACACGGAGGAGTTCGAGATAATAAGTTTCTGATCACCCATCCAATGACCGACTATTACGAAAGCTGTTTTCTTTCTCGATCGCAGGCCAAACGCGCTAACCACCTGCGCCATCGAGCCAGGCGCGGTCGCAGCCTGAAATTTTGGAGGGGCTCACTCACTACACTAATAAAAAATAGGTACCACTTATGGGAAGATTTGCCAGATTTTGAGAAATGTCGTTGAGAAATTTGGGTATAAATCATCATTACAAGCTTCGATGATATAATACATAGTAGTACTAGATATCATTTCCAAGTTATTTTGGCCATCGTACGTAGTTCAAAAAACACCACTAAATATCAGCAAACTATAAATTTATCGCTGTTAGGGGATAGCTAGAAATTTCCTTTTATTATTTGGCAATTTTTTGAGATTTTTGAATTTGACCTTAGATTTTGGGGGGGGGGGGGTCATGTCCCCTGTGACCCCCCCCCCCCCTTTCAGACCGCGCCTGCATCGAGCTCCTCTAGTAAAGAAATTTATACAATTATTAGTGTTATATATTTTAAGTAGGCAAAATTTACATTGAATGTTACTATAATTTTACTAGAAAATATTCCATTCGGTGCTGGTAGCAGACAGGATTTAGGATCCGGGCGGAACACATCATTTGCATCTGTTTAGTTTCACGAAAACAAATTTAGCCCCTCCAGCAATGTTTGTGTTCTAAACGGTGATAGGTTGGACAATTTATTCCGTGTACGTTACGTTTACGTTTGGAACGACGCAATATTATTCTCAATAATAGCATGAATCAAAGTAGGTAGGCACTGAAATTAATCGACTAAATGCACATTACCTCCACGCCAATGATTCACCTACAGCTCAATTTGATATCAGTTCATGTACCGGAAAGATTTCCGATACACTTAACGCGTAGAATCATCAAGATAGTGCATTAGAGCGTCAATAATTGGGTTGTTCCGTATTCTTCCTATGACGTCTCATCCCATTCCCTTACTCATCCCAAACTAATATTCCTTACTCAACCTATTTGTAGTTTTTAGTCAAAGAAGTTCTCATTACAAGTTGGTGCCTGCGACTTCGTCTGCGTGGCAAAATTTACACTCCCTTTTTCAGCCCTCTAAAGATGATTTCTAGAATAAAACTTATGTCCTTTATCGGCACACAAACTATCTCTACACCAAATTTCATCTAAATCGGTTCAGCGGTTTATGCGTGAAGAGATAACAGACAGACAGAGACTCTTTCTAATTTATAATATTAGTATGAATACGTACGTTCTTATAAAACATGTCATGAAAGAAACGATGTAATACAAGACGTAATTAATCAGCTCTCTACTACGAATGAGGGAATTGTCTCGTAATAAGTTTTGATACAGATACCGACGAAATTTCTTTGCCATTTTAAAAATTCGTAATTATAATATCAAAAAATATACTGTCTGTTAAAAAATAGACACCCATAAAAGTTTTTATAATGAATTCCATAAATTAGGAATAACTTTATCTGACAGAATCTTCATGATATACCTTAATTACTGAAACTAATTGAGTTAAATACCTATGTTGTAATTTACCAAACATGTTTTAATTAGTAAATACTATTAAAACAACTTGAATTGAAGTCAAAATTCAGATAGAATAGATATTATAAAAAAAACTACTTTAAAGTGTGCTACGGGACTTTGCTCTCCATTTACATAATTATTGATTTAAGTGATCGTAATATATTTTTATAGTTTATTTTGACGAGTTACGATTTTTATATCACTTCATTTGCATATATGTATCTAACAGTGATAACTATAAAACGCTGATTCCCGTTATGCTACTTTGTATGAAAATAATTTCTTTTATACATTGCAATCGACTCATTAAAGAAAACTTCCAATCTTAATAAGGTATTGTTTACAAAAAGTCTTCGTGAAATGCAATACTACTGAATAGTGACCGCGGAGCGGTAGCCTATGCTTTCCCACCTGAATATGACACCACTAAAGCAGATGCAGAAGGTCTTAAACCGACAAATGACCAAGAAGAAAAATAAACTTTGGTAAATGGTATTATAAGATATAAATTTGTCTGCACCCCAACTGACGAACCCCAGCCTGACGGATTAGCAGTGCGCGCCTGACCCATTAAAACGATCGATTGTTTCCTTATTGTAGTGTTTGAAACTGTTGGTTCTATTAATAACTATAAAATCCAATAAAAAATGATTTTGAAAGTGTTTCTTTTGACGTTTAAACGATTATTTGATATGCAATCGACGATTATGTAAATTGATATGATTTACTGATATTATTTGTGTTTGACGCAGTCGAGGAATTTTAAACGCATTCATATTTTATTTAGCATAAAATTTTTGTAATAACCATAAGATCTTCGTTATAATGTTTGTTTTCAAATGAAGTCGTTGTGAGCTGCTTAGGTATAATTGACACACGTTCAGGAGTTCAGTTCGTGAAGTTCAGAGGGTCAACAGAGATAGGTAGTTGATCAATATCTTTGTAATGAAGTGTCGGTATACAACTGGCGCCATTAAAACCTGGTGAAAGCACAGTAACAGTATAAGGGAACTAATTTAAACCGATCAACATAGTCGCCGGGGTGTGATAGAATTACATTGATACAGACCACACAACGCCGCTGTGCTGTTCCCTGTTCGCTTTAATTTCTACAAAAGTCTGCCACTTACCTATTTAGTTTGTACATATAATTATATTGGCGGTGTTGACGCTAATATTTCATATCGTCCTGTTCTTTGTTTTGATTACATACTTTGATTTTGTGGCGTAACGTAATACGTTGTGTCATCTCTCTGTGCCGTCATAGTACTCATAGCACGAGAACTTGTGACTAACCCTGGCATAAATCAGTGTTTTACAGCTTGCAGTGTTATCGTACAGTTGATTTAGCATGACCATTACTTGTATGACCGCACTAGTACGTTCAGATAGGCCTCTACGTGGCTGTGGAATTATTAGTCTCATTTTAAGTGTATGTATTCTCCTTGACGATTGCTTTATTGTTCGCCGAATGAAATGAGCGTTTCCATTAGGCGTATCTTGGACCAACATGACATCTTCTGAATTGAGAATAAAATGTATTTTTCAAAATGATACCTCTACTATATACTTTTTGTAGTGCAGATGAAACTTAGTCGTGCTAGTTTTATTGTTCCACCATTTATGATCTAAGGTTGGCTAGAAATGTGTAAAATTTTATGTTTACATGGTAATTCTCGTATCCATTAAAATGTTGGTAGAACTTCATATTCTCCGTATTGTAAATTTTATACGAAGATACTTGAGGGTTTATGAAGACTTCAAAGGTTTCGACGGTCCTATTATCGCTAATGATTGTATTTATCATTGTGAAAAAGGGGAGACCACCTGTCAAAGCGTGAATGATGCTATCATCAAAAGGTTAACTGAAATATTTTTATGGTAGTGACAATTTATGAGTCATATTATTTTCAAAACATGCCTTAATCAGTGGTTTAATATGCAATTGCTAACTTAAGCAGTTTCTGCAGCAACCGATCATTAAATTACTCGAAAAATGTATTTTCTGTATTATTTTCATGAGATTTTCAATATTTCCAAATTTGTTTGGGAAAGTCACTTAGAATTGTACGAATGTCACTATATCAGTATGTCAACACCTTAAGACGGTATGATGTAATAATCTCCGTAAAATACTAATCGCTCGATGTGCACCTGATTTCGTAAGAATTCACCATTTCACAAAGATCTTGTTCGATATAAGTTCAATGACAAATCTTGATTATGATAAAACCACTGCTTACAATTCGTTAGATTCAGTAATCTGTATGCTGATGCCAGAGGATGTCACATCTACTCTTTTGACCGTGACTTAATCTTGTCTTGGAACTCTTGAAAAATCATTACTTCATCTGTTTTCTATCAATGTTATATTCTCATTTAGCAAATTTTGTTTTTTATGTTAAATGGGTCGCAAACAAACCTATGGCCCTCCTGATGGTAAGCGGCTACCATAGCCTTTAGACGCTTGCGATAAAAAAATATTACTTGAGCCGTTGTCTACCCTGACCCCATCCCCTACGAAGCCTTAAAACCAACCAATGTGTTATTAGCTATTGCAAGGGAATTTTGATCGATAAAGTAATTGATACTTATAAAAGCTAAAGTATAAATTTATGAATATGGATTGATTCCTTCCAGAGGTTTCGCTGTATAATTTGTGAAGTTCAAATCTCACTTCAATAGCGCCAACTTTTTATCAATTTAGTCGTTGATCAACTAACATAGCTTCATAGTCTTGCTCATATGATGGATACGCTGTATCCTGAAAATTTTTGGTCCTTTATTTGTCTGCTTTATACCTTGTGTGGTTTGAAGATGCGTGGCTTCGTGGTCTTGTTCATATAATGTATGCGCTATATCCTGAAACTTCTCAGTCTCCTGATCGTTTAATATCTTTTTTTTTGGTTCCTTAAGGTGGTGATCTGCGGCGCGGTGCCATCGATGGTCCGTTCAGTTCGCCTCTACAACCGCTGCTCCCATCTTTACGTCAACATGTTCCAAAACGGCACCGTTATGGCTGTCTCAGATGGCAACGACCAGCGTAAGTACTAATTGATATGTTTTTACTTTGTTGACATTGTTTTTCAAATACATTTTTTTTATTTGAAAACATATTATTTATAGTTAAAAGTTGTAATATTGTAATTTAAGTGGTCCTTTTCAAAAATCTCCTTGGATTTTTTCTAAAGGTTAGTTACGATATTCTAATCTTTCTTTTTTATCTCTTATTAATAATTGGTTTTTATATACGACTTTTTCGATTTTTAAATATCATTCGGTTATTTTCATCATCTCGTAAATGGTTTTGCAAATAATAATATACTTATTTTGATATCATAATTTGAATTAAACTCGTATTGTACAGAATTTGGTAGTTCTTTATAATTGTTAGGTATTCTGTTTTGTCTTATACATATTATAAAATACCTACATATTGGTTTAATAAAATTTATTGCTATCATGTAATACTTTCACAGTTATCATAGTCTAATTTAGGTAAAGTACACCCAAAATATATTTATCGTTTTCATATGATGGTGATCTAACTGATTAAATGTCACGATTATAAGTGTATAGGTGGTTATAACATTACTTTATATAATGAGAATGATGATACTTTTATATTATTGTTTTTTTAAAGATCTTTAAAATGTACTTTAGAATTGTGCAATATTACCATGTATGAATGTATGTATTTGTGTTGTTGTAAGTACGCGTCTGAGCACACAATGTCTTGTCTGTTGACAAAACATTTAAAAATCCATCATTTATATTGGCCCACGCCGGCGTCCGTAGTAAAAACACGCTTCATGCGTATTGTAATCGTGTTGGTAGGGCTTACGTTACGTGAGAAACTATAGGAATATGTCAATACATGGAGGGTCAACGGCCAGCCGCAACAGGTAGGACCCACTGTGCGTTACAGTAACGTGGAATGTAGGGACTCCGTGCAAATGTAACACTAATCGTGTTTTATACATTTGTTTGTTCACAATCAGCGTACGTTAACTGTCACCTATGCTGGTTTGGTAAGTTTTAAAAACACGTATATACGTTATATTCAGATCTCCGTATCTCGAAAACAAAAAAGGAACTCTGAAGGAATCATATTGTAATGCGTCACTTGAAGTTATTGATAGAATTGAATATACCTGTTTTTGAATTAAAATTCAAGAAACATAATTTCTGTTAAAAATATACTTAAATGTTACAACTAATAAATAGGTTTGCTTATATTACTCATGCACATTATTTATGTTGCACAACTCAACGGTGATAGACAGATATATTGGTCATAGCCAATTTAATTGAATCTCGACAAATATCGGCTACTTTGTGCTTTGGCCTTTTATCTATGAACTCTCTGTGGTCTCTTTATTGGAATCCCGCTTCCTACAAATGAAATTGTGTAACTTCTACACCTTACATCGATTGTCAATTCACTGTTGCTAGCTACGACATAGGTAAAAAAATTAACACGTGACACTACCGACGTAAAAGGCATTTTTTATTGAAAGATCTTCTACACTTTAAAGCCTTTGACTATGCTTCAGTAGCAGAAGGCATACGCGCTTTTCTATCTTCACCTCTCCGGTAAGAAAGCTGGTCATATGTACTTGTTGAGAATTATGTTTCCCTTAGTGTAAGAGACAAAAAAATAAGTCATCTTTCTTTGTTCTCTTTAACATTTACATCTAAAGACGCTGAGAAACAAGAAGTCGCCCATCCAGCTAGAAAATTTGGAATTACAGAAAATACATGTTTAGGAAACGAGAAAACTAAATTGGTTTCAGTTTGACCCCTATACAATACCGATGAAAGTTCATTGCATGTTTCTAATATCATCCATTTAACAAGCTACTGCAAGTGCAGCGGATCTTTTATGAACCTGATTGAACTCACAATGGTGAAGATAATACAAGTGCTCTCAAGGAATAAAAGATGAGCTAAGCAGGTTTTTCGAAATCAAAAGACAAAAAAAATATTTATAAATACTCCTGTTCACCCAGATATTATTTTTTACTCATTAATATTTGTCAATAAATAACTTAGCGCATCCTCATTTCATATTGTTTCTACGGCTGTAAACGTTTTTGAAAAGTAGTTAAGTGCAACATTAGTTTTTGGTTTTTTTTTATTTCGGTACCTATGTATTGTTAAAGTACATATATTGTCAATTACACCTGATTTCCAGTAATACTCAATGCTTTTCAATAATAAATAAAAGGTTACGAGGGTTAATAAATTGAACGTCCTGCATATTTCAATGGTTTATTTATCATCCGATTGTAAAACAAAACACAAAAAAGTAACTCTAAGATAAGCTACGATAAATCTTGTCGTTGCTTATTTTTCTACAAGACTTGGCAATTAACTCGTCGCGTCACACACATGTTACGTAGATTTTCTTCTTATCTTTGGCGAAAGCATTTGCGAATATGTAATATATAATTCTCGCAAAATTACTTAATGCTTGTTGTAAAAGCACGCAACTTTTAGCGCAGTCACTTGTTTAAATAAAACTTGCTTTCACCTCCTTTTATTTTGTCTCGCTTTGTGGTTTGCTCAAGAATTATCGCACACTCCTCAAAGGTCAAAGACCATAGCTCTATACTACACTACTAGATCTGCCTGTGACTTCACTTACATTGTCATCCTTACATTTAAACGACTTTTTCCTTTTGGCGGGTGTTATAATGTGATGACTCCTATAATTTTTTTGGTAACTTTATGAATTAAGTTTTGAAATTTATTTATGTTTAAACATTTCACTTCAATGTATTTTAGACAACTATTAATATTGACTTCAAAAATTTCTTATCTTCTTTGAAACTTCTAATTTTATTAATATTTAAACATCATAGTACCCAATGGAACAATCTTGTGATCTTTTCATATTTTATGCTCGTCTTATTTTGGACTTTAATTACGTACTGATAAATTCTAATTTCGCCTTTTGTCAATATCTTTTATACATTAGTGCGTACGTGCATCGAGCATCGTCTTAGAAGTTCGTATTACAACAAACACGTTCATTTGCATGGTGACCCAATAAGGACGGGACAGTTGCATATCAGCATTTGAACACGTAATTAATATGAACTACAATTAGTGAAATATTGCATCAACTTTGACATTTGACGCAATGGTGCAATATATTTCACTAACACACTTCCGTTTATCACAAAGAAAACACTTTTTCAAAGTAAATGCGTTTGATTCCGGTGGATACAATTGAGTGTATTACGGGTCAAGGTTATTATAAAACACATTTATACATTTCGACTTTCTACAAATAAATTATGCCCACCATAACCCATTAATCGAATAAGAACAATAATCGCATGAGAATAAACATTTATTTGTGACTGCTCAAAAAAAATTAATCACTGAACCGTGTTAGCATACGTGTTAGTTGTAAAGCAATAAAAGAAACAACACAGCCAATATTAAATTTAACGATTTAATACCGCATCGCCAGTGTCTAAAGAGCCTCAATTTTCTTATATCTTTTCAGGGACTCCCTAATGAAGTGGAGGTCTTTCCATATTGGTCGGTTTATATCGTCTTTGAACTGAACGTACCGCCCACCGCCGAATAACGCGTGAAATATGTGACGCTTTTTAATTAAAATTAGATTTAAACGTGCTGATAACGAAATTTAATTATTAACGAGTTAGAAATGCGATGGGCCGCTGAAGTAACGGTAGCGTTCGCACGAAAACATTTGGTATTAAATAAGACGAAGATAAGAGAATAAGAAGTGAGTAAGACCTGGAGAAAATAAATAAATTTTTTGGAGGCAGAGGCGAAGATATCTGAGACCCTTGCCTTGCCAAAATATTTTGGTTTTTAGACGAATAATTTAAAAATATAATCTTAAGCCCTTGCGGTATTCTCTGTCAATGAGTTATTAATTATTATTATACATAAAAAGCAGAAAACCTTTTTATTGTTAGAGAAAAAAGTTTTTGTTTACCCAATTGGTGCAACTCGAAAGGTTCATTGTGTGTTGTATCCCATTTTAAGAGCACCCCATCACACCATCGAACTATCGAAAACCATAGTTTCCTTGCGAACCATACTTATATGTTTTTTGCGGCAATTCGTCGGAAGGCCATTTGGCGGCACGGAAATTATATGAAATCAATCGACATGGGCGGCGCAGAGCCTTCCCAAATTGAGTTGTTATAAAAATATAATAATCAAGACCTCAAAGGTTCCACTGTTTCGCAAAAAAAATCGGTATACCACACGCATTCACCCTCATTAGGGCCCTGTAATTTAATAAAAATAATAGGGCATCGTAATCGGTTTAATCGATTCGAAATTATCCTATTCGTTTAGTTTCGAATTGGAATGATCTTTTTTATTTAGTCGAGTAGGATCTGACGTGAAGAAGAACCTTTATTTTTGTACTAAAATATTTTTCGAGTGTTCTCGAGTTGCGTATTTTTGGTTTGTATCTATTGACATTGGCGCTTGGAGATTATATAATAGCGTTTTTGAACATTAAGTTATTTAACTGTTTGCTCTCGAAAATTTACTTATAATATGATTTTTTTGATGTCTAGTTTTGTTTGAAACACTTAATAATAATTGGATATTTGATGTAATGAAGGCGCGTTTTTAAATAGATTTTTTGTTATTGTTTTCAAGTTTAGATATTTATATCGATATATATATACTTATTAAAAGAAGTGGTTTATATAGGTACTGTCTAAGTATTCTATTTTTTGTTGAGAAGATATAAGAAGTGTCATGGTAACGAAGTGTACATTAAAGTTTCATGTCGCAAAAGTAACGCATAATAGGTATACGCAAATATACGGATATATATACTTTTAAATATCTGTTTAATACATTCCAGTTTAAAGAAAACTACTTGTTTTCTTTAATTATGAGCGCGATTTACAAAAATCGGTTAAAAATGAATTATTTATGAATTGACTATGTTCATTTATTAATACCTACTTGTCACATATTCACAATCGCAATTATTATCTCAATTTAAATTGAGTTGACATCAATATTATATAT